ATAACATTGTCCTTTGTTAAGTCCTTCATAAAATGGAAACGTAAGTTCATGTGTCTGGATTTCGTAGAAGATCTTGCACAGTTGATCCACTGGATGGCAGCTTGACTGTCTGTATTTAAGACCACTGCACCATTCAAAAATTGTTTGTATTTTAATTCTGATAATAAATTTACAGTCCAAATAATATCCTTACAAATTTCAGAAATAGAAAATAATTCTGCTTCACAAGTAGACAGACTAACACTTCTCTGCTTACGACATTTCCAAGAAATCAATGAATCACCTAGTAAAATAGTACCACTAGAAAATGACTTACCATTTTCTGCATTTCCCCAGCTAGCATCAGCATATGCATTTAAAACTTCAAAATCATTGCTATAGAAAAGTTTTTTATTTTTTTTTACCTTTTAAATACCTTAATACCCTTTTAGCCAAAAGATAATGCCTTTTTTCTGGTACATGATTAAATTGTGACAAATAAGTTGTTACAAATGATATATCAGGACGTGTTCTATTCGCTAAATATAAAAGTTCCCCAATTAATTCTTGATACAAAATTGCATCAATTTTTTTCATTTGTACATGAAAAACCTTTATCTGCTCCTTTAATGATTGGCGTTTTCACTGCTTTACAATTTTCCAGATTGTGTTTAGTCAATAAAGATTCAATATATTCTGTTTGAGACAAACATATACCATTTTCAAATTTTTCTATTTGCATTCCTAAAAATTTTGAATTAGTATTTTCACGTAACTCAAATACATTTTTTATTTTAGAAACAATATTTTCAAGCATTTCTTTATTATTACAGAATACAGCTAAATCATCAACATACAAACACAATATAAAAATGTTTTTGGTATCATTATAAATGAATACACAATTATCAGATGCTAAACTGTATCAGCCCAAGTTTTTTCTAATTCATTTTTATTTTCATATATACCAATTTCTACTGGATTGAGGCAACCCATAAATACTTTTCTTCAATTTACATACTTTACCTTTCTCCAATCAGTTTTTTTCATAACCAGGTGGAGGAGTCATATACACATCCTCGTTTAAGTCACTGTACAAAGTACGCTGTTTTTACATCATTAAAAGGCCAACTTTGCTTTTTTTACGTCATAAAATTTAACAGTCAAATTTAATTTAGCTGAAAGTGCAAGCAATAATCTAAACATTCAATGTTAACAACTGGTGAATATGATTCAGTATAATCCTTATTTTTTATTTGATTAAATCCAGCCGCTACTAATCGCGCTTTATATTTTACTTTCCCCAGAGTCTCCTTCCTTCAAAGTATATACCCACTTACTTTTACTAATTTTGTTTTTTCAGGCCTATCTACTATTTCCCACACTTTGTGTTTATGTAATGAATCTAATTCATTTTCCATTGCGGATTTCCAGTCATACCAATTAGCACTTTGTTTTGCTTCTGAAAAATTATTCGGAACATTACTGATTATACTTGACGCTAGTTGTTTTGATTTGAGCCTCTCCCATCGTCTTAATGGTATTTCATTTCCATATTTATTACTTTTTTCATAGCTATCAGATGTTTGGACTTTATTCCCCCTGTCATGACCCCCGCTACAACAGCTCATGTCGCGGATTTCGAAATTCGATGAGTCATCATATTCGCTTGCTTGGGTATTTTCCATAACAACCAATTCGAGGTGTGGTTTTTGATCTAATTCGTTTCCCTTTCTTTCTAATTCTTCAATATCCCAAGTTTCTAAGGTTTTATTTTTTCCCATATATTTTCTACCCTTTAAAGATTCGTTAAATTTAACTGATCGTTCTTCAATTATTTTGTTACTTGCTATATCATAAATACGATATCCTTTTCTTTCTCTAGCATATCCTAACATTATCCCTCTTTTTCCTGGTATGTCAAATTTGTTTCGCATCACTTTCGGAATGTGAAAGTATGCCACACATCCAAACCTTTTTAGATAGTTTAATATGGGTTTTTTACAAGTCCAAATTTCTAAAGGAATTTTTTCTTTTCCTTTCCGGGGTGTTAAATTTGATACTTGAGTACACTAAAATTAATTGCTTTCTGCCCATAATTTTACCGGAAGCTCACTCTCATGTAGTAATGTCCTAGCTCTTTCTAAAAGAACTCTGTTTGCCCGTTCAGCTTTCCCATTACTCTCACTGTTATATGGAATTGTTTTTTTCATGAAAAATACCTGAATTAGCAAGATAATTATCTAATTGTTGATTTACAAATTCTAAACCATTGTCTGTTCTCAAATGTTTAATTCTTTACCAGTTAAAATTTTCATACTTAGCTTTAAATTTACAAAATGTGTCAAACACTTCACTTTTACTTTTAAGAAAATAAGTAAAATACATTCCAGAAAAATCATCCACTAAGATCATAAAATATTTAGACCCACCAATTGATTCAGTTTGAACAGGGCCACATAGATCCGAATGAATTAATTCTAAAATTTCTGAACTCTGATTAATGTCAATATTTGGATGACTTTTTCTCGTTATTTTACTTATGTCACAAGTTTCCCACTTAAAATCACTTACATCATTAATATCAATGTATTCTTTCATTTTAAGCATATATTTTGGATTTAAATGGCACAATCTACTATGCCAAAGTTCATAATTATTACCAGTACAATCATTAGCAATGCAAGATTCAGAATTATAATATGGTTCTAAATTAACTTTAAGCCTACCGTTATTCTTAAATGCTTTAAAAGTAAGTAATTCATTACACCTACTAAAAACTAATACAGAATTATTCCTTGATTCAATTTTACATCCTTTATCCATTAAGGCAGTGAGTGACAATAAGTTATTTCTTAAATCAGGAATATAACTAACATTACTAATAGTTTAAAATTAATAAAACTAAACTAGAATTCTTTGTATTTATAGCTTTTGCTTTAACAGTACCAATACCTTCTGAATATATTTTTGAGTGTTTACCTGCCTGGTAAATTTCCCTCACCTCTGGTGTAATATTCTGAAACCAAAAGAAGTCTTTTGCCATGTGTCCGGTTGCACCACTATCCAGCAACCAAATTTTATCACATTCATCATTTTTTTCACGCGTAAGTTGAAGAGCAAAATCACTTTCTCTTTCACCAGAACGAGATGAAACGTTCACACTTGTAGGTTGTAACTTCATTCTTTCCTTGTTACCTTTGGATAACTCACTTTTTGAATTCTTGTTTCTGTAATAGCAGTCCTTCGCGATGTGACCAGGTTGTCGGCAAATGTAACAAATTCTTGGCTTATAGTTTTTATTCCTTCTTGATATGAACGCCTCTGCGTTGTTTCCATCAGATCGTTTCCCTTTCGTTGAATTGTGAAAGGACTCTTCCTCATGGAGTATTTCGAGTACTTCATCAATTGTTTTTTCACGCTGAGTTTTTACAATTTCCCTAATTCGAGAGAATTTTCCACGAAGTCCACGGACTGTGTAAAACACCAGTTCCCGAGGAGATACATCTAGTCCTAGCGATTGATACTTAGTTGCTATTCCTCTCGCTCTAGCGATATAATCATTAGCCGACTCATGCAACTTCATTTCTAAATTTTTTAACTCATTACCAGCATCTATTTTTCGATCTTCGGCTTGTCCCGTAAATGTTGACTTTTTTCCCAAAGAATTTTTGCATTCTCTTCTGTGGAGAACTGAAGCGCCTGTTGATCCGATAGTGAAAGTTTTATATATGCTACGGCGTCAGCGTTTTTCTCATTCCACAATCTTTCATCTTTCTCGTCTAAATTTTCTGGTTTTACTGTTGAAATTACCGAGTCAAGTCTTTTCAGTGATAAGGCAGCTTTAATTTTTAATGACCAAATAAAATAGTTCTCTCCAGTTAATTCGGGAACGTTCCACTTCTCCATTTTTGGCTTCCACTAAGACAGTTTCGGTTTCGACTTGGTCTCTTATCTCCAATTCTTCTTGACAAAACCACGGAGCTGCTACTATTTGTTGTTCAGAGGCCAATATTTAGAATAAAGAAGCCATCGTAGGACAACACTTTATTTACATGAATAATGAATAAAGATATCACACAGGAAATCATATTGAGTATCATACAGCAAATAACATATCAGCATCTCCCTATGCTCAAAGCTCGAATGACGGACGTGGGAGAAGAGACAACTGCGCCATCATAATTAATACGCATGCGCATAAGAAAAAACGTTCGCTCGCCTCTACCCAACAAAGGTCTTACGCGCACGCGTAAAACGCCTGTGCACATGTGCCAACGCGGCGCATGCGCAGAAAGTTTTTAGCTTTGAGGTCCGGATTATGGGTGTCCGAATTAACGACTTTTGACTGTATATCTTTCTTATTACTTACTGATAAAGTTTCAGCTTGAAAGTTATTAGATTTTCATAGTGTTATGTAAGAACATGCAGCACTAAAATTATGAGACTGTCATGGGATCAGAATTAATTCTGAAATGATACTCTTTAGAAAGATTCAGTATTTTATTTTCATTAGAATAGGAAAAAAAAAAAAAAAAAGAAAGAAACATTAAAAGCTATTATAAATTAAAGCTGGAATTTTATGTTGCTTGCATATATTACACAGATAAAGATATACAGTACTTAATCATCTAGAAATACAGTGAAGTAGATTTAAAAAAAAAAAAAAAACTAATACACAACTAAATCTGCAAAATGTAGATACACTGACTTTGTATAATGATCTCTTATGCTATCCAAAAGTATTTAAGTAGTATTTAATACAGAAAGGCTTTTTTCCAATTGTATCAAATGTTTGTTTTACACACAAAGAACATAGTATGTCTTAAAACACATTTCAGTTTGAAATACCACAGAAGCAAATACTTTCAGTCATTTTGATACAAAGAGGAATTCAATGTCTTGAACTAAAAATACTTTCTGCCAATGCTTATGTTCTATGTGGTAAAATGTACACATGTTTGTTCCCGAATAATTTCTAAATGCACTACTTTAAATAACCATTTATGAAATGTACTCACTTGTGGATACCTAGACTCTCGAGGCCAGCTGTCAATAGATACTATAATTCGCTGAGACAGTAACTTTACACCTTGGCGAGTTTCAATTCTGATTTTTGGAATTCTACGCTCAGATGGTACAAATAGGTAGTGTGTTGTTTGCTGTTACAAAAAAGTTGAGATATTAATTATTAAATATTAAACTGCAATGAATACATCAAATTTAGTAAAATATTTTCATGCACCACTCTTCATTATAAAATGTTTTCATTTACTTTTACTTTTTAAACCAATGCAGTGTAAAATATATTTTAGTTGAAATATTATATTTAATAAACACATTAACTTAAGAAAATAAAATGTAGATATGTATCTAGAAAGTTTTCACTGGAAGTTAGAAATATCTGAATAAAAAATTCTTGATTGATAACAAAAGGCAATTAGTCAAAGCTTCTCCCTCAGATGACTTTTTTTTTTTCTCTTTTTAAAGTTAACTTTCTATATGCTGTGCTTCATTTACAAAAACTTGCAATAAAATCTGATAACGCCAAAATAAACTGAGGTGTTGGGAACATTAATTTATATGCTTAAAACACTGTACATTAAGAAAATCACTGAAATTATTGAGCCCACAACAGTCTATTAGAAAAGGCTCTTAAATGCAAAATATTTTGTTTATAATCGAAAGTGATAAGCTAAATTGGAAATAAACACATACAATAACATTAAGCAAAATGGTTTTAAAATTAAAGTTTATAACAGAATTCATTACAAGGACTAAACATCACTTACTCCTTTTATCGATGGAGGTTGCAAAATTCCACAATATGGCCGCCAGTTACGTTTGATAATGCCTACAACAGCACCTGACATTATTTTATTGGCAGCTCTTTTCTTCTTTAAAATTTCCTAAATTGAAAGCATCACTTATTAGTAATAATAATCTTCAAATAAGAAAAAAGCTCTCACATTTAAACTAAAAAGTGTGTTCACAGAAAATTATGTAGTTGTACACATATCTCATGATAAGTATTTAGAAAGAAAGTGATTTAATTATGAGTAATGATGTAACTTGTTACCATTAACAAAATTTTGTATACATGAATTTCTAATTTTTTACATTGAGCAACACCATTAATTCTTACTAGAAAGTTACGCTTACTTACACTATAATTCTTACTACTATTAATTGTTACTGTACTCTGTGACTGCTTAAACTATAAATACTTATGATTCATACTGTTTTGAATGTAAACAAACAAAACTTCTATCTTTAGAAATTTCAGAATGGCAAACTTAATAATAATTTCTTCTTATACATATATACACAAATCTTTCAAAAAGTATGTTATAGAGGCAGGGCTGTGGAGTCGGAGTCGGGCAGATTTTGGGGTAAAAGGAGTCGGAGCTGAAGTCGCTAAAAACAGGTCGACTCCAACTCCAGTTTTTGTTGCACAGTTTGAATTTTAAATGAAATTAAAATGAATTGAAAAAAAATGAATGACAAGTTGAGTTATTATTTTTATTTATGGACTATATACATTAATAAATAGTTATTTTCTATCTTATTGACATAGTAATAAATAAATATAAGGGAGGAGGCTGGATGTGTTATTTTCCATTAGTGATTAAACTGATTCATTTAGTTACAAATTTCACTGGTAAATTTAGCTAAGCAGCAACAGCAGTAAGAACTCCCAAAATTGATGCCATTCTTAGGTAACGAGCAGGAAAAGGAGCAATTATTGATCAAGCAATGCAATAAGGAAGTACATATTTGATGATAAAGATGTTGTTAGAATTAAGAACTTTTTAGAAGATGTAGCTAATGCTAATGTTTCACTAACAGAAAGACTGTGGAATGATCTTGCAGAATTGGAAACTCTTCTTTCTATACCGTATATAGCCACAAAAAAACTGCAATCTGAATAATTGACAGGAGGCGAGAATGAAAGAATGTGATGTTTGTTCTTTCTGAAATGAAGGGCTTATTGCATAAGGAATCATTTCTTCAATAAATAAAAGAGAAACTAGTTTGCTAGATAATGAGATCTTGCTGGGTTCAATATATGGAGATCCGAAAACCGAATTTTCTTGGATGACGAACAAATTAAAAAGGCAAAGAAAGCCATCTACAAAATTTCATTAAGAAAGAAATTATTCTCAGAACAATTGGAGAATTTGAATTGGGACAGTCAAACTGAAGACATTGCAATTGAGTCTCTATCATCTTCTTCCAGTGATGAATTACATTTTGAGAAATGTTTTTGGATAATATTAAAATGGCTAAGGAAAAGCGAATGAAAATAAAGAACCAAGAGCCTTTAGATATAAAAAGGAAAAAATACAAACAAGATTTCTACATGGCCGTTGAAGAAATACAGAAATAAGATTGCGCTTCCAAGACACCTCATTTAGAACTTATAAAAATTTATCCTGAAAAGTTAAAAAAAGTAGCTCTAACAGTAACAGCTCTTCTCCTACTCAAGTTAGTGTGGAAAGACTGTTCTCAGCTATGAAGTATATCAAATCGGATCTATGGCTTTCCAACAAAGAAGATTTTGCCGAAGATATACTGTTTTTTAGAAATAACTAATGCCAGTTTTTCCATTTCATAATAAATACTAATTAATATAAATAATTTGCTATGCCATCAGTTTTTTTCTGTAGCATCTATTACTTCTTTTATATTAAAAAAAAAGCTGTAACCCATGCGTATATGTTTACACAAACATCACATATATATATATGGAAGAAGTCGGAGTCGCAGTCAGAGCCTGAGTCTTTAAAATTCCAGGAGTCGGAGTCGGTCATTTTCCCTACTGACTCCACAGCCCTGTACAATGGTAACTTGGTATGCATCTTGTTACATTCCTGAACATTTTGGTTTGGAATATGATATGAGTTCAAAGATTCATAGCTGCACACACTAGACTTGTTCATCTCTTTTGAGGCAATGCTACAACTGCCCATGAGGATCAGAATGCTCATTGCTACTGTTCGGTTAAAAACCTCATGAGAAAATTCTGAATTTTCAAGTGATTTTGTTTTGTTTTCCTTGTAAATTTTTTGTAAATTTATTAACAATGAATTTTAAGAAATTTAAAGAAAAGAGTTAAGCAATGAAGAAAATTAAGATCACCATGGAGGTTTAAAAAAAAAAAGGGGGGGATTGTTGACAAATATGAAAATGGCAAGCATGTCCAAGACTTGGCTATTGCATACTGCAAGCCGAGTAGAATGGTGTCCCCGATTGTGAAAAACAAAGACCTTATTAAATTGGCTAACATTGCGATCAGGGATAAAATCAATCACCAAAGATCAGATATATTAGAGCATGTTAAAAAACTCCTTTTGTCCTGAATAGCAGAAAAACATTTATGTACAAATCAAGTGCAGTGCTTCATTTATATACAGTATATTTCACCCACTCCATTTGTATTTTAGTACTGAACAATGTTGCAATAATAAAAACAGAATTTTTTATAACAATGGATTAATTATTTTCTATTACTACTGGAAAAGTTCATTTGGTATATGTCCAAGATGAACGGATTAATGACATAAACCAAGGAACCACTGTATATTGATACCTAGCTATAGAAATTACTGTTGTATAAGAGTTTTAAGAATGTTTATTTGAAAACAGTTAATGATTTTGTTATTATATCTAGCAGGTTTTCAGTTCTCACAGCATACATCCAAAATTTTACTGCACATCTACAACATTAAGAATTATTGATCTAAAAATCAAGCAGTCTAAGGCATTTATAATACAGTATAAATATCAATACATTAATGACTATGTTAAAGTACACATGTCATATTTAAATTACTCAAAAGTTTCTAAAACATACATCATGAGTATCTTTATCATCATCAGGATTCTTAGTTTTATCTTCCAGAACAAGGGATGATGGGCATGACCATTCTTCTTCTGGTAATATCCGTATAGCAACAATGTCACCATGAACTGCTCTATTTAAATGTTTTAGACCTTGAATGAAAACCTGAAGCAAACAAAAATACATTAAAATCTAAAATTAAAAATGCATTAAAAACAAAATTCTCATATACACCACATTTCCAATAAACATCAGAAACCCTCTGAAACATAAATATTATCGCCCATACATTATTAAAAACATCATGATTCAAAAGGGAAAAAAAAAGGAGGAGTCTGTGAACTTATAATTGGCATGGATAAAAACAACTGATATTGAAATGGATAAGCAATGTGAGATAACTGAATTTAAGCACGGCATAATAATCACTGTCCACTGATTCGCATTAACTGCACATTTCATTACAAGATTTCTGTTAAGCTGCAGACACTATATACATTAGTCAAAGCACTACAAAACTTTGACCTGAATAGCCTTACAAAATGCAATAAATCAGAATCAGGAGTGCCAATAATATGTTATAAAATAAATCAGTATACCTCATTAAAGACTGCGGCTAGAGACTTTCAATAGGCTTCAGGAAATTATGCTAGCGTTTGTAGTATTTATTGAAGGGTGTTTGCACTCAAATTCCATTGATGAGTTGTAAGCTTTGGCCACTCTACTCATTAATGGTAGTTGTGCAAATCATGCTACCAGTAGGCACTAGGATGATGGAAGAACAACTTGTATAGTGATGAGTTATGCGGTATGTTTGGAAATCCAGTGGACATGTAGACCTGTGATTGCTAGAGGAATGCTGCTTCCTGCAGTTGTTATCCTTACTGCAAAAACTGGTAGAAGATGAATTTTTGTGTAGGTCTTAAAACTGCTCATTCAGCAGTATAATTCAGCACTATAATATGCCCACCCGTACAATAAAAGATCATAACTGAAGAGTTTAAGAAAATGGAAGTGAATGATCATTACTGACTAGTCCTTATTCCAAATAAGCATCTCTAGAAAAGTGATACCTCATTCCAAAGAAGCATCTCTAGAATGAATGCTCATTGTGAACTACAATAAAAAGGCCTTCAAAACATAGAACTGCTTAAATGCGCTCAAAACACAGAGTTGTTTATTATATTAGAAGAGAAACTATGCAAAATACCTATAAATATTTATAGAAATTTAGTGGAAAGCAACTTCTTTGGAGGGCAAAGGTTTTGATAAGCAAATGACACACCTGCATTGTACTGGCCCTGTATGAGTTTTAGATAAACAATACTATGAGTTACTGTTCAAAAGGAATTTATTCGAGCTAAACTGAAGTTAGGGAGGATCAAGCTAAACTGAAGTTAGTAGAGAGGATACACTTGATAAAAGTTAAAACGATAGTTTAAGTAATATAAAATTAAACCTGCATTTACAATAGTTTAACCTTCTTTTTTTTTAATCCCCACTCTATGCCAAAAGGTATTCACAAGGCAATGCATTATGCTAGCAAAATAGTTATGTGGTAAGTCACGATCTCACCTAAATGTATTTATGTGACAAGCCAGGTAAATGTGCACTCACAACACATTGCGTTTCAGTACACGCAGATTTCCACCTCCCAAATTTGACACTCATTTTCTTATTACTCTTTATTCTTGCACTAAGTACGGTTTCTTCTCTTGTAAAGAAACATTATGGTGCTGTGGAGTTTGCCAGCTTGCAAAAAGGCAAAAATTGCATTTTTTCAAAAATATGGCATTTAGATAATCTCAAAAGTACCTAAAAAGAAGAAGGGGGGAAAGATTGTTATGTACATGGGAAGAATAATAGTGAGTGAAATGCCAAATTTGTGAATTTTTTTTAATGTTTTTTAAGTGAAAACAGATTGTTATGTACATGAGGATGACAGAAAAAAAAAAAAAAAAAAAATACACAAGGATTTCTTGAAAATACCAAGTATTTTATTACAGTTGTTTCTTGCTTTTAAATTTTTTTTGATCAATTGCTCTTATATGAAATTTTTAGTGTGTCACCATTTTGACAGCAGCTATTTATTGTCTTGCGTATTTTAGCTTGGTGAAAAATTAGTTGGCAATGAGTTGGTGTTCTTCTGGAAGGGGTTGCGGATAATCAGAAAATGCCATATAATGTTTTTATTACTTAAAATAAAATTTATAAGAGAATAAAATTTGCAATACCTTTATAATTTGCAGTTAGTTGGTACAAAATCTCAAAAAACTTGTACAACATTCAATTTACAAAATACACAGTGCAACTTACTGATTTTGCATCCGATTCATCTTCACCTCCAATAAAAACATTTCCTTCCAAATAATTTTCCCTACTGGCTTGAAATTTTCCTTGACAAAGACTTCCTGATTTTAAACCTTCTTGAATTTTTGAAAGCTTCCAGTGCTCAGGATAAAGAACAGGACCCTTAGAACTTACAAATTCAGGCTGCAAGAATACAGAACAAAATAGAAATTAAAAACGAAACATACAAAATAAATATGTTTCTATTGAATAAAGGAATGTTTTAGACCAGAATATATTATTGTCTGATGACAGAAATATTATCAACAACCAATCTCTAAATTTCTTAGGAAAAATATCATAACAATCATTAAAAGGCCCAATACCAGTGATGTGATGCAAGCCACCGAATATTTGACAGTTACCCTGATACTACAAAAGACATACCAACTGAAAGTAATACTAAAAAAATTAATAAATAAAAATAGCAATAAGATATAAAGTAAATAAACTGTACAACTGGCATTTGTGATTGAAGAATGTGTTTCTATTTGACATTCAAAACTTTAGTACTACATGTTTTAGTTACATGCATTTCTATTTTCTTTAAAATTAGGTCTAAGTTTAATTTTCAGATACAGATGTAGACACAGATATGCCAACATCTAAAAAATCTAAAGCAGTAACATTTAAAAAAAGTTTTACCGATATGATCAAGCAGACAATACTCAATTCTATTGAATTAATACCCAAAGCATACAGAGACACGACAGTAAAATAATTCTGTATAAAATAATACACAATATTTAAGAAAGGAAAAAAAAAAAATTATGTAAGTTATACATACACCATCATTCTTCTTCAGATTAATCTGAGCTAATTTATCAACAAGAGATGGAAACTGTTTCATACTTTTTACATACTCTGAAACTTAAGAAATTAAATATATGTAAGTAGAAGTACATTTAATTTTTTATTATAAAACGTAATAGTACAGAAACTTTAATACACATACGAAATGACACATTAAATTTCTTATTTTAAAATACAACAATTCACAGATGGTACTTTTCTGTTAATGAGGTAACATTTAGCACTAAACATAAATGTTGAGGAGAAATCAAACATGAAGCTGGCGACTTTAATGATACATAAAGCTTCATTAAAAAAATTAATTTGTAATAACAGTAATGTATCATATAATAAAATACATACAATCCTTAATATAAGCTTAACAAAATTTGTGCAATTCTCTGATGTTTTCTAAAGCAAAAGCCGCATTTTTTCATTCTCTTTCTTTTCCTTTTAATGTTCTCTTTCTCTTTTTTCTTGGCTAAATGTGGAGATAACTTTTTTCAGTACTTACGTACTATCCCACTGATGGTGAAGCTGTTGAAAAGCAGTACAATTTAGAATAAATTATGGATAAGGTGATGTAACAACACACTCATAACATCTGTTCTTTAATATGACACAACCCTGATTGATTCTCGATAAGCCACCTTTTGCTTTTATATGAACAAGGATATAAATGACTTTTAGTGCAGTAGTTTTTCTTTTATTTTGGAAAAATGATTTAAATGTGGGATCAGTGTTTATGGTTAGCTAAATATGGCCAACAAAACACTTATAGATTGGAATAATTACTTGCACAAAGTTTGTATTTATACCATTTTAAACACAGCTTCTGGTAAAATTGGCAGCCTTGACAACACAGTAGAAACTGATGAAAGCCTTTTACAAGGTGCAAAAATGAAGTGGGTTGAATACTGATTGTTTAATTTAGAAGTAAAAATAAATAAATCGGTGTTATATTTTCAAATTTACACAGGACTAGTTTTGATGGTTTTACTGAACCACCACCGTCAGCTGCAAAAGTGCAAATGAATGAGATAAGATATACTGATTAGATAAGATAAGATAACATGGACAGGAGTCAAGCTACTGGTGCCATCTGTTGATGAAACCAGAACTAAAGCATAATTTCTTTAAAGACTGAAGGCAAAGATGGATTCGAATTAGGGTTGTTAACTAGAACAGAATGATTTTTTTTGAATAATTTTGGCAGCAGAAAAATTGAAAGTATGATTTTTGAACCAACAATGCTGGGTAACAGAAGACTTCAGTGTTTCCTTTTATCCAACATATGCCTCATGTTCCTTAAGGCTCTCTTAGTTTGACCAATGTAAATTAAACCACACTAGACTACTGTAAATATCCCAGGAATTCATATTTGGAATGGGGTCCTTGAGTACGTAACTCATAATTTTATCGATGGTAGAAAATAATGACTCGAAAGTTAAATTTCTGTAAAATACATGCAACTTTATAGCTAATTGATGGAAAGAAGGGAATGACAACAGAATTTTTATAATCTCCTAAAACAAGAGTGTGCCTTTTGGTGTGTTCAGATGAGGATATTTTAACTGCTTGATTAATAATGTTGGGTGGAAAACCTCTGTCAATAGCTACTGCTTTTATATAATTTAGTTCTTCATCGAGAAATCGTTTGGAGGAGCAAACTTGAGGAGCACGGAAAACATAGGAATAAAATGAAGCTAACTTTTGTTTAGTCGGATGACATGATTTGAAGTGTGATGGAAGGCAAACCGATGAAGGCTTACACTAAACCATAGTACTGAAGTCGGATGTGTTATATGTGACTGGAACGTCGAGAAAAGGAACAGATTTGGAAGTCTCAAGTTCAAAAGTGAACTGAATAGCAGGACCAATAGAATTCATTGTTGAAAGAACTTTATTTAAATCATCTTTATTACCTTCAAACAGGGTAAAAGTATCATCTACGTAGCGGAACCATACTGGGAAGTTTAAAGTTTCAAACAATTTTGATTAATGATAATGCATGTAGATATCAGCTAGAATGGGACTGAGGGGGCTTCCCATGGCTAATCCCTCAGTTTGCTTGTAATATTTATTTTGGAAAACAAAATGCATTTCATTCAAACAGAGTTGAGTGAGGGAAATTAGCTCATCAATTTCAATGCAAGAGAAGTGAAATTCACGAAGTCTAGTTCTAATATTGGTGAATAATGATTTTACATCACAAGAAACCATGAGTAAATTTCTAGGAGAAATGCTTTTAACCTTTTCGACAAACTCTATTAAATTTTTTATGGTGTAAATGTTATTATCTAATAGAATTGAAAATCTAGAAACTAAATATTTAGCTAACGGATACGAGGCAGTGCTTAAATTTGATACAATAGGGCGAAAAGGAATACCCCTTTTATGAGTTTTGGGAAGAGCATATAATCTGGCGCAATTTGCAACAGATGGGATAAGTGAGTGTTTTAAATAAAACAGGAAAAGGATTTGTTGAAGAAAAAGGCTTGAAAGGATTTGTGAAGATTTGATAGCAACTTTTATATTTGACAGGTCCGAAGGTGAATTATCTTTAGGGATCAGATTATATGGTCCTTCATTTAAGAGCATGCATTATTATGAATCAGAGTTGTTTGAAACTTTAAACTTCCCGGTATGGTTCTGCTACCTAAGACGATACTTTTACCCTGTTTGAAAGTAATAAAGATGATTTAAATAAAGTACTTTCAACAATGAATTCCATTGATTCTACTATTCAGTTCACTTTTGAACTTGAGACTTGCAAGCAATTCTCTTCCATTTCTCGACAATCTGGTCACACATAACACATCCACCTTCAGTACTATGGTTTACCGTAAACCTTCATCGCCTTGCTTTCCACCACACTTCAGATCATGTCATCCAACTATCCAGTTAAACAAAAGATAGCTTCATTTTATTTCTATGTTTTTTGTGCTCTTCAAGTTTGCTCCTCCAAACTATCTCTCGATGAAGAACTAAATTATTTAAAAGCAGTAGCTATTGGGGGTTTTCCACCCAACATTATTAATCAAGCAGTTAAAAAATCCTTATCTCAACACACCAAAGGGCATACTTTTGTTTTAGAAGATTATAAAAAATTCTGTTTTCATTTCCTTCTTTCCATCAATTAGCTATAAAGTTGCATGTATTTTACAGAAATTTAACTTTCGGGTCATTATTTTCTCCCATCGATAAAATTCCGAGTTCCATACTCAAGGACCCCATTCCAAATATGAATTCCTGGGGTATTTACAGGATTCCTTGCCAGTGTGGTTTAATTTACAGCCTTGAAATTTCACGTTAAGGAACGTAAGGCATATGTTAGAAAAAAGGAAACACTGAAGTCTTCTGTTGCCCAGCATTGTTGCTCCGAAAATCATACTTTCAATTTTTCTGCTGCCAAAATTATTCAAAAAACATCTTCCATTGGTGAACTGGATTTTCTAGAAGCATTTAACATTCAAAAAATCTTTCTATTCTAGTTAACAGCCCTAATTCCAATCCATCTTTGCCTTTAGTCTTTAAAGAAATTATGTTTTAGTTCTGGTTTCATCAAGAGATGATGATAGTAGCTTGACTCCTGTCCATGTTATCTTATCTTATCTAATCACTATATCTTATCTAGTTCATTTGCACTTTTGCAGCTGAGGATGATGGTTTGGTAAAACCATCGAAACTAGTCCTGTGAAAATTTGAAAATATAATGCTCATTTTTATTGTTTGACTTCTAAATTAATACTTATTTGGCATGTTATTGTATCTTAATTACTGATTGTTTATTAAATAAAGAGGTGTCAATTCTTTCAGAATTCTGTAAGAACAAATGGTGCAATTTTTGGCAGGATCTTCACCAATTTTCATAGTTCAATGGCATCTAACTTTTATGGTCAACAGGATAATACCCTTTAAAAAAATTCAGTGTATACTTTAGATGAATTAAAGCAAGTGCATATCTACATTGCATCATATTTTTGAAAAGCTCTTTCTTCATGGAATATTTTGGAGACAATGCTTGCTCTTTTTGTGTTCAATTTACCACATTCGCTAGATTTGCCAAGGATTGACACAAGAAGCAATTCATTATTTCCAAGCATGTGAAATATCTTGAGTATCCCAATTCTCAAGCAGTGAAAGTGAACATGACTAAAGATATATGATAGAAGAATAATGTGAAAAAACAGTTAGTAAGGGTTAGAATAAGAACTGCAAAATAGCTCACGAGAAATCACAAGCCTTCTTGTTTAGCAGAATTCAGAGGGTGAGATAACGAAGATCAACAATCTACAATTATTTTGAATGCTATTACTAAACAATACTTGCTGGAAAACTAAATATCTATTTCATTGGTCTGCTGATATCAAAAATTTATTTTATCAACGAAAGGTAAAAATAAATTGCTGGCAGTCTATCAGACTCTACAGTTTAATAACCAAGTAACATTTTTCTTCATGGAAAAGTATATAAACTGTGATTTTTATAATATAATTGGTACTTATGTATTAAGCACTCCAGTTTATTTACAGCTGTTCACAAGAATTAACATCTGGATATAGCCAGCTAAACAGCAATAGACGGGAGTATTTACCTGTGGGAAGTCTGATTCACAGCATTCTAAACATAGGTTTTGGTAAAATTGGAAGGCTTAAATAGTATAAATTGATGAAAGCCTTTTTACAAAACATAAAAACTTTTGCAGCAGTGGCTAATTGGTAGATTGTGCAAAAAGACTCACAAAGATTTTATTTTAAGGATTACATATAGAAGTCTGGTTCAGAATTCTGCAGGAACAATTGGTGCAACTTAGGAAGGATCTTTGCCAACTTTCATGGTTGAAGGAATAGTATGAAAGTACTATTTAATTTCTCTTACAACTCTGTCTTCATCAATGAAATGCGTACAAAATGAAAGTTGTTCAAAGATAATATAGTCCCCCCCCCAATGGTGGGCCAAAACCATCTACAGATATTGGCCACTACTAAGGTCAAAAGCAGTGGTCAATTTATTATGGGGGCACCTAATAGGTGGATCACCTTTGCAGGCATGGACAGACACACCCATGCCTTCTTTGGGATTTGAACCCAGGCCCTTTGGTATTGCAGTCGGCTCCCCTAATCTGGGCTTCCCAGATAATATCGTAAAAGCAATAAATACACAGTCACTTCATACATGCTTAATCTTTAAAAGAAGTTTTAAAAATTGCTCAGTGATTCAGAATATATTTATTTTACAAAAATGAATATCGTCGGCAACGAGCTCTACCAATGATATAGAAAAAATACCCAATTCAACGCACTCAAGCTGCAGAAGTGAGATGTGATTTTTTGAACTCACGCTCTGAAAGTTTGAAAAAAGTTATTTTATGTTATTCTATACATAGTTTGATAGTTTTTCCTGTATGTTGTTCTTAGGTGTTAATAAAACGTCTTTTAAAATTAACTCCTAATTGATTGATTGAATTTTCTAAGGATATACTACAATACTTTTAAATAAAGCTATACAAAATGCAATCACACATCCTTTTACAGAAGGACTTAATAGCTATAGATGAATTGCATAGCACATGATATAAAATATTATCATAATGGACTATATTGCTACAAAAATATTATTGTAATTAATTACAGAATAAATGTTTTGCATTAAAAACATATCTTAAATGCATTTATTTTTTAAATAACAAGCTTTAACCACTCTGCTACCTGTACAGTTCGAGAAAAGCTAAAATCTTTAAGAATAAAAGGAACTTACAAGAATAGAGATATATACTTACAAGAATATACCAAAAAACCTTCCCCTTCACATTTTTTAGCGTTTTCTTTATCATTAGTTAGCAACAATACTTTGATATTTTTGGAAGAATCGGAAGATGCTAAATGTTCTTGATACCATTTTGTGGCATTTCGTATAGCCCTGTCATTTCTATCATTTGCTGATTCACCTGGTTTTCTTTCTGTATATGTATCACTGAAATATTAATAAAAAATATTAACAAGTTATTAAACAAAAATTGTTTTGAATATGACTTAGGTTATACACAGAGTTCTATTTCCTTATAAATATATATTCTTACAGAATAAAAAATATGAAGAGCATATTTATTTTTTACAAATTTAAATATAACTTTTTAACACTTTTAACAATTTATTTTTTACAAGTTTAAATATAACTTTTTAACAATTTTCACAAACATTAGTGTGTGTGTATATATACAGTACAAAGTCTTTAATCCAGACGTCCATAATCCAGAATTATCTATAATCTGGACCTCAAAGCAACAAACTTTCTACGCATGCATAAACACATAATGCATTCAGCATGCGCATACCTTTATGCACGCACATATGCGTTTATGCATGCGCGTTTAATGTATAACGGACGGTATAAGCTATGCTAAAATTATCTATTTCAGTTAATGCTGCAGATTGCGTTGTCCCTTAAACTTCTAATTGGATCCGGCTTATTATTTTTTGCAGACTGTTAGAGCAATTTTATAAAAAGTAAGCTTGAACTTTCGATTATGTCAAAAAGAGTTTCCGATTCTGGGAGCTGCCAAAAGATCTACAAAGCGAAAGCATGTTTCGATTTCCATCAAACAAAAAGTGGAATTGCTGCAAAAAATGGATAAAGGCATATCCTTTGTTTCTCTAACCATTCTGAAATCTGTTTAACACCTTCACGCAGTTTTGAGGGGGGAGGACACTGCGGTGCGCAATGAACTGGAAGTTGATCTGTCAGCATTATCCTTATCTTCAGGGCAGATGTTTTTATTTTATTTTGGCTTATAATTCCTTACTAAATGTAGTATTTCATCTCAATGTACTCTGTCTTTGATACGATTTAAATCAAATTCCTTGTCATTATAAATATCACGAATAAACATCAACTAACTTTCTGGTTGCAATTTTCTAATTTCGACTATGCGTAATGTATCTTTACGCATGCGCACATTGAAAGAAATGCTTAATAAAGTAAACAAATAAATATTAAGCTTTTTTTTTTTGTAAATTTTGATACTTTTTAGATCATAATTGCTCTTTATTTCATAAATTACGGTTTCATATTTTTAATTTTATAATTTTTGTATGCAATCTTACCAGATTTAAATTGATGATCTATAATCCGGAATAACCCCTAATCCAGAATCACCGAAGTCCCGACGAGTCCAGATTAAAGACTTTGTACTGTATATGTAAATGATTTTGAATGTGCAGCTGAAGCCTGGAACTCTTAATAGCTTTCGATAACAGTCATGGTATGTAGATAAAGCATACAGATGAAAATGACTCGGATTTCGATAATTACCAATCTTGATTTTTACACATATCCAATTAAATTGGCAGACACTTATTCAATTATAATTAAATATAATAAATTTCTATGTACATTGGCTTTTAAAGAAACAACATAGGCATTTAAGCAAAGGTAAAGTGATGTGGTATTGACAGAGCAGCAGTTAGGGATGGGAAGAATGACACAATTAACTTACTGGTGGTATTTATACTAAGGTATGAATTAAGCTAATCTGTAATTGGTTAATCTGAAATTGTTATATAATATAGAAGATTCTTGAATTTGAGAGAACAAATGAATTTAGGAGGAGTTTTCAAATCTAGAATGTTAATTTTGAGGTCGCCAATTACTATTAAAGCAGGTATTGCATTTTCTTATAACTTACATATATATATAATGAGAAAAAAAAAAAAAAAAAAAAACCCTTAAATAATCAGCAAATTATGCTGAGGTGGTTGTGTTAATACATAAGCACTGGATATTTTGTGAATCTGGAGTTAAGTAACATCAGTAGCATGATTCTTCCATTTTCAAATACAAAATCTTGAAACAAACATTTTCTTTGTATTTCACTTAAAACAGTGCTTTTCTTTGAACAAGTCTCAAATAAAAATAATTACATTAGGAAAATTTTTTTATGAATCACAACAATGCTGCAGATCCTCATAAAAATTATAAATGGTTGATTTTTACAATATGGTAACTGGTAGTTTGGCGACATTTTGGAGGCGATAAAGGTTACTACCTGGGACTTTGGTAATAATGTGAGCAGTACTCAGTTCCGATTACGCATTATTTTGTGTGAGGGAAATGAGAGATCATGGGATATGTCATGTGATATTAATGGACGAATTACGGTTCTTTAATCGGAAAAGGGGGGAAATCAAGAAAAAATGTGGAAATTTTGTATTTAGCTTTATACTGTGTTGTGTGAAACAGTTTGTTTAATTTTGGATCCCATGGCCCTAACTAAAGTTAATTCGAAATGGGGTATTTAGGCATTGTGATAAGAGAACTTTGCTTTTTATTTAGCGGAGGAAGTATGGAGGAAAAATTCGCAGAAAAATCTTTCAATAATTTTATTGAATGAATTAGAAAAGTGTATCCGCCACGTAATCAAGATCTGAAGAAGATTAGGTAAAACTTAGTATTTTTAATTATTTGAAGATATTATTTTTATGCATTGTTCTAAATGTAGGTGGAAAGGAATTTGGTATTATAGGGAAAATGTTATTAGCAATGATTTAGTTTAAAGTAATTAGGATTGTAAGGTATTTTTATTAATTTAATGTATGTGCTCATTTATATTTAAGTAGTGGTTTTGAATTTAATTATATTTTAATGAAATGATAGTTATTTTGTGAATTTTATGTTTGTAGGAATTTGGTATATGTTTAAGTTGAAATAAACGTGCATGGAAATAATTTAAATATTTGATACTAAGTATTTGTAATGCTTGCGGTATGAATTCATTGGTGACGTGTATAATGTAATAGATGATGTACAGGTAAAAGTTTTTGGATATTTTATTTATTTTATATGTGGAAATGTTCATATTTGTAAAGGGTAAATACTTTTCCGTGATCAGGTAATTTCATATATGTTTCTTTTTACCGGGTTTAAAGATTGAGAAAATGTCATGTATTTTCATGAAATTTTTCTAATTTATGAGAAAAAAAAGCAGTGTACATGGATATAGTGAAGAGTGTGTGCAATGCCATTTTGTGCAATTCTGGGATGTTTTTTTAAGTAAAAATAAGTCAGCGTGTACATGGTTTATGTGTATGGTTTTATTTTGAAAAACGCGTAAGGAGTATGGTATTGTGCACTTTTTCCCAATTTTGCAGTGAATATTTGTCATGATTAAGCAGTTTTGTTTGATAAAATTTCTAGCATAAGTGTAATTCGGCTAGTAGATTGTTGGAAGAAGTGTTCAGTAGATAAGAAGAAAAGAAACATGTCTTTACTTCGTGAAGACAAAATGGTGGCGGGGAAAAAAAAATAGAGGTTTGCTGTAGGAGAGTTGGTTGCCAAATTTTCGCCAAAAAATCGCCAAGTTACCATACTGTAAAGATCAACCTTATAAATAAATCCTTGTCAAGCATAATCTAGCTGTAGTTTCAATTTAATCTTTTTCATTATTTTTATACTTTTATAATAATATAAAAAAATATGTAAAATAATCTAGAAAACCATAACATTTCTCGTTTTCCTTCATTTTATGACTTGTAAAACAATGAAAACTATAAGAAAGTTTATCAATTATAAGAAACTAATTTAGAGCTACAGAATTTTGGCATTGAAAAGTAAAACTGAAGCTGATGTAAAACTAATGGACAATATTACAAAGTATATATTCAGTGAAATGCATGGTAAAAGTATAGTTATGGGTAACCCTTGGCGAAACTTGGCATTTTTGGCGGTACGTGGATACCGATTTTGTGCAACTCTTTGACTCGTTATTTTGGCTTGCGAAGCCGCTACACAAAGCCAAAATAACAAGACAAACAATTGCACAAACCCGGTATCCATGTACACATCGACTTATTTTCACTTAAAAAAAAATCCCCGAATTGCACAAAAATGGCATTGCGCACTCCTTTGACTTTATCCATGTACACATCGACCTATTTTCACTTAAAAAAAAAAAAAAAATCCCAGAATTGCACAAACTTGCATTGTGCACTCCATTTACTTTGTCCATGTACACATCGATAAAAAGGCAAAGGAGCACCAAATTCTACAATATAGGCAAACAAAAAATACATAATCTCAGTAAAATACATTTTAAACCAAACAATAAAATAACATAAAAAAGGAAAAACATGTTATACATTTAAGCACTACCAAAAGCAAATATTCACTTACCACGATTTTTGAGTTCGCTTCGCACACTCAGAGCCACGTAAAAATCAAAATATCAGTCATACTCAAATGACTTTTTTCAAACCAGGTACTCTTTCTGATCGAACGCTTCACATAGTGACCATCTGAACCTTTCTTCCTACAAGCCCATTCAAATCCATCTAAACAGTTTTTACGTTCGACTAGACGTATATCCTTCCTACATACAGGACACTTATAATGGCTACTAAGTAAACCTTCATTTACACACCAGTCAATTAAAGCTCTTTCCCCTTTCGCTCCAAATTGTACAGAAACTTCAAATTAATCTTACTACATTCGACTGTTCTACCGTCTAAAGAATCAAACCAACATACACCACAAAAACGCTTACAAAAGAGCCCATGATTCAAAATTTCCCAGAATCATGCACCCGATTACGTAACAATAGGGTTTCCATACCATTCAACTACTTAGGCTACCATAAATGAAACAACTTGGCAATAAATCAAACAATAACTTCGCCATAATACAAGGGGTACCTTAAAGTCTACTTTACCCAAATGCATATCTTAGAAACAGACTCCTTGTCAAACTTTTCAAAATCTTCAGTATTAATACGTTTCAAGTATCAACGAACAATTTTTTAACCTAATTAAGATACAATAAAAATTAGCATATAAAGAAGCAAGATCATATGAAAGCTCGTATGTTATGAATTTACAGAATATCTTCAGAAGACTTACCGATGATGCTCATTTGTAAATGTATAAAAATGACGATCAGCATTTGAAATTACTTCTTTGAGCCTATTATATGCTGGTGAATGGCGATGCCGTATTTCTTCTAATACTGTCTGTAATATAATAACATTTTTGAAAGCTGGTTCACCAAGAACATCAATCTGAAAAGAAATATACATTAATCCTTATACTTATTTTTCACATAAACAGCATATAATAAATAGTTCGACAAAACATAACACTTTTACAATCCGCATTTAGATTCAAAATAAATATTATGCACGACTCTTTTATACATCCTTCATTAGATAGTAATCCACAATCAAAATCGATACCGGAAAATATTTAGCATTAACACACAGCTAAATTCCTTAAAAAGTTACCAAAATTATATTCAAATGCCGCTGAAGTTTTTTTTTTACTCTACCTGATGTATAACAACATTTGAATCTGGAATTATATAATGCGGATTTTTGCACAATTCACTATAGCTTATAGGTTCAGCTTCCAAACATGTGCTTGATTCTGGGCAGGAAACACATAATGCAGAACCACAAAGTATATCATCACGTAGGTAATGTTCTCTCACAGTTTTAACAATAGCTCCTCTTTTTGTTTTCTTCACAAATACTTTTGATGTAATCATATTGAGATTTGAATTGATTTATTGCATATATTTCAAACAATGTTTACAATCACACTAACATATAGTTTTGCATCTTTACATGGACTTTTTGCCTACAGACAAAAATTCAATTTTAATGGTCACAGTTATTGATTTTTGGCGATTTGCACCAATTTATGATTTTTTTAAAAATATAATTCAATAAATTCTTATCCAGTTTAGAAATGGAATATAATATCATGTAATAGGACGAAAGTGTTTCAAGTGTTTTTTTTGTGCTGTAAACAATGATTTTTTGCTAGGTTTTAGTAATAAATGTTACTGCATTTATTTTTTGGAATGAGATACATTCCGGTGACGTCGGAGGTCACGTGGTGTAAGAACTGCTAATGTAAACAAACAAGCTTGTGCTGTGGTAGATATGTTGAAAATTCGGAAACTTTGTTTATTTTTAATTAGTTCTGAAATTTGCATTTCATCTTTAATTATTAATTCATCCATTAATTAACTGTTCATTCATATGGTTAGTATAATTTTAGTAACTCTTATATGTTATTTTCATGATACTCTTTTGTTCGCTGCTTTAATATGTTTTGATTGTTAATATTTATGAATTCTTTCTTTAATCTCATAATTAATTCATTTATAAAAAATGTCAAAATGAATACATAGATTGCTCTTCTACACTGAAAAGAAAGTTACTATAAATATTTGTAAGTCATAATTTTATCAGCTTAACAAGCAGAACAGTAAATATAAATAGCTGGTTTCTGAAAATCGTAATAGTCAAATTTCCGGAGCACTGTAAATGCAGTTAGACCTTAAATCATGTAAGGATAACGATGCCAATGTTCCGCGCAGTTCAAAATTAATATATAATTTTATACAACTTAAAATTAAATTTTAGCAACTGACTATTATCCTGTTGATAGTATAAACTGCAAATGTACACATTTTGTATACTATAATAAAATTGCCAAAAAAATAAAAATGTAGAGATTTGTGCAACTGAGTTCACTGCAGTACTAGCTGTAAAACTAATAATTCTTCATAATACATATTTCTTCATTTTATAATAATAAATAATAAAAAAGTACTATCTGTAGACATTTTAAATATTAAAAAAAATAAATCGAAGTTATTTTTAATCTCGTAAGTTACGTAATTTATGTGCAGAATTTTCTATTTTAAAATCATGTAGCTCAAAAAGATTTTCAAGTGTATTTATTGAAAAGATCTACCATAGGAAATATACTAGTGTAATTCTAATGCATATACTTAAGGCACATGTTATCTCAAACTATGGACCTTTTACATTAAAATGTTTCAATATTAGTGATGCTTCTAATATTACAGCTGTTGGTATCCTTAATATCTACAATGGAAAGTATTAAAAAAATTAGCATTTCGATATTTATGTGTATTCATTAAAAATCGATTACAACAGCTAAAATATTAAAACATATCCTGATGAAATTAATAAAATTTTAACTGCATAAAATATTCTATGATACTAATTAATATTAATAAGAGAAAATTGGCTTTGTATTCATGTTCTTGCAGATAAACAGATCTTTCACGAATTCGGCTATTTCAATAATTTAGAACAACTATTCATGAACTATGCACATACTATTATTACACTTACATTTAAAAGTTTGGAAAACATTATTCAAAAAGATAGTTTTCAATTAACTGATATACACTTAGTATTCTTAATGAGAGCATTATTAATACTGATAAGCATCATGCACAAGAAAAATTTAGAAATCTTACCTCGTTTTCTGCAGAAATTTGCGCAGATGTTTCATAATTAATTGTTTTCTTCACTTCGGCCTTAACACAGCTTCTTATAAGTACCGTGATATCCTGCATTACTTTGAAACAAATATTGCTCACATGTTTTTCCTTGAATAATAAAAGACCCTTCTTTTTGACATCAAAGAAAGAGAAATCATTTCTAAGATATTTTTTAATTTCTCGCAATAGCCATAAAATTCTAAATTCGAAAAATCAATTAATTTTAGCAGAATATCTGTTATCGACTGTAAACTGAACACTGGTAGTTCGGTCTGAGCCCCTTTTTCTTTTAAAGGTACAAAATATTATATTAATGTACACATGACTACGTAATTAATAGTTTAAATTCATAGCGATTTTATGAAAAATGATTTGAAAAACCATTAAATTGCATTTCGTTCGGATGGCGCTAGTGTAATGTTAGGAAGAAAAACGTAAATACTACCAAACTTCTATGGCTCATCAATAACAACTGGCATTAGAAGATTCGATAAAGTCACTAATGAAATTAATCATTCGGTAACATTTCTTAATAAATTACATATTTTTATTCCCAATCTCCTCTCTCAAATCAGCGAAAATCACCTGTTGAAGACTTTTCAAAATATTATAAATCGGTAACCATTTGGACCAGAACGAACGTAGAGTTAGTTTCCGAAATGGTTTTGCTGTGAGGAGGAACTATTGAGTTTTATGCAAGCATTTTGCATCGAATGATGAGTATAAGAATTTTTAAAATGACTTGCATCAAATGATAAATATAAGAATTTTTTTAAATAACTAAATCTATAGTTTTTAAAAGACCTGACATTGATGATCAATATTCCACAGGGATTATCAAATCTGATACTATTTTGTGATTTTTTAAAGGAAGGTTTTTTTTATATTTTTTTATAGTATTTCCTTAAAAAATACACAATTATTTGTGTTTTTTTTTGTGTGTTTTGAAAAATTAAAACCTTTCACTAGAATTTGACTAAAAAAAAAATTTTATTATTCATTTATTTATTTGTAGCAAAAAGTGCGAGTCATTTGTTAAAACTTTCTTTGCTCATCACTGTTGGCAGCTCTGTTGTCATTGATGAAAGCAGAAGATCTCACTACCTGCATTCATCGTTGGTCTTTCAAGACTTCATATTTTTATAAGAGCTTTTACTATATTTTCTGACCTTATAATTATAAAATTATGCGTTTAAAACTAAAGTTTCATTGAATACTGACGTTTAATTGAAAACTGAACTGAGAATGTTATACGCAAGAGGATCTTAACCTGTCCGATATCTTTAGGCTAGATGAAGACTCACAAAAATTTCGGAACAAATGTTGAAACACGAGCAAAATTTACATTCGAGATATCTTTTAATTACTAGAATATTTTAGTTGAACGGTTCAGGAATGTAACTTTTTCTTGGCTCTAAAAATTTTAGAAGTTCAAAACGGCTCGAAAACAAAAAGACTGCAAGAAAAAAAAAAAAAAAAAAGAAAGGGAAAGAAAAAACTAGAAAGAGAGAGAGAGAAAGGGAAACTTCAAGATACTGTCCTTTCTTAAATCGCGTTTTCTTACCATCCCCCCCTTTAAAAAAAACTTGAAGTATTACATGTCTATTAACGCAACATTTAAAAGATCTGCTTTGAAGGAATACATATCAGAATACGGGTAAATGCGTGAATTGATCACGAAAATAAATAAAATAAAAAATAATAAATAACACGAAAAGTGTATAAATAATATTTTCATGCTGTTTAAGAACAGAATTTGGAATATATTTGGCAATAGTGAGTGGCGTAGCTAGAACTTTTGTCGTCCAGGGCGATCTTTGAGTTTGCCGCATGAGCTGGTTCCTGAATTTGCCGCTCTTTTTTATGGATGTGCTACTGGAAATGTATGATACGTTGGCATTCTATAGACTACCCAAGCATTTTGTAGAATGCGTGGCGTTTTGGGGCAAAGTATGAAATATGAAAATTCATAAGCACTTTACCTGGGCGTTGTGTATAATATCTAGGCATTCTATAGAATAGCAAATGCCCTTTAGGCAAAGCATGAAGAAAAAAGTCATGATAAGGTTAGCATTTAAAAGACGTGCATTTCTCAAAAATACAAATATTATTTTGACAAAATAATGAAAGAATGCCACTTAAAACTTTTATTCAAAATACGTAAAAAAATTAGTGCGATGATCTTGGTACATCATAATAAATGTCTATTCTCTGTCTGTCTTAGACTAAAAATCAATAAGATCTACCTGACAACGGGAATTCAATTCGGGGGGGGAAATCATGAGTTCCACAACAATGCCTCTTTTAATACCTTTTTGTTTTTTCTGGCAGGGCTCACAAGGTGGATGTGCAGCTCAGCATCATTCCGTGCAACGTTTTCGCATTTGGTTGGAAGTTCTTTGGGGGAATCTTGGTGAGAGAGAACGTTCTCTTTGACCACGGCTCTTTGCTGATATAATTACAGCCATCAAACGGATGTGTGTCAGTGATAAAATGAGTCCTGAATCTGACTCCTAAGGATGAATGTAAAGTTTCTGGTTACACTTTTCGCCCCGTATTTGGTCACATTAGTGGATACATTCTCTCACGTCCTTGGTTTACAACAATCAAATGAGTTTTATGAAGTACGTGAAATAACTGAGGGTTAATGACGTAATACTGTGTAGTACTGAAGCTTTGAGGATAAATAGGTTTATATTTGTTTTCCACAAACAAATGGTTTATTCGAAGCGAATTCGAAGTGTATTTCATACTCTGCGGTTTGTCATTTGGGATTCTATAGAACGACTAGTCAATGCGTGAAATGTTCAATTGATTCGTACGTTGTCGCCATTTTTCGGCATTCTATAAATTGCCTAGTTATTGTATAGAATGCCGGATTTCGTAAATTCCGGTAACTAAAAAAGTATCAAAATGACATGTACGGAAATAAATTAAAACTCTACATTTATTTTTAAAGAAAAACTTTATTTCCGACATTTTAAAAGTATATTGTTATTATTATTATTATTGTGTTCGCAAGTCATTTATGACATTGTAGAGGTCTATGTGATTGCTCCAGTTAGTGTTATGTAGACAGTAAAGAAAGAGTTCTTAAATGCAATTTCTTAAAATTTCTTTGCATTTGTTAATGTAGCAATCTTCAAAGCCACTCAAGCTCGCAAATTTGAAACAGTTGGAGTTCTTGCGCCTAGTGCTTAGGAGCTCTTTTTTTGCGCTAGTGATAGATAATTCGACTTATATGAAACAGCCCCGGGATCGAATCCTAAGGTACATG